TCAAGTCGTTTCTATAAATATATGTGTGTCGCTCTTTTCCCCTCGTGCCTCCTCCACCTTTCCTAATCCCCTAAARCGCGGCTACTATACGCAGGGTAATATGATCAAAGTCAGGGCACGAATATCTCACAGGTTGAATTAGAATTCAGTTAGATATATAGGTTTTGCGGAAGGAGGAGGAAAACCAGAACGCGGACAAAAATCTTCTCGAATTGAAAAAGAGACCTAACTTATAACTCGGCCACTTACATGGGATCCGGATGCTGAATCTGGAAATGAATACTAGGAGTTTAATGAAAAAATGAATCCTCAATGAAACTAAATATTAATGAATAGCTTATTGCGACTTAAATTTCATTTGATGCGTATTTAGATTAAGCAATGTCAGCTGAAAATTTGAGGGATTGCGCGATGTGAAGTGCGTGGCAGTTGCAACTAAATGTGCACGTTGCACTAAAAAACCTGTCGAAAAAGTCTTTTTCTATAACTTTTTTTAAGAGATGAGAATTTTACTTTAGAGATGAGGCGGTAAGCCGTGTGGGATGGGCTCGGAAATCATATAAGAACATACGTAATAAGTAAATTACGAGCCTTGTATGAAATGACTGAAGAAGAGGGACTTTCACAACTTCAAGTCGCGTAAAAATAATTTAGCAAAATTTGATTTACTTCTGTCCACGCAAAGCTAGTACGATTATATAGGATGGTAGAAATTGCGAGACACTTTAAAAGTTACCAAAGCATCTATAAGTTCTATTTTCTCCGATTTCCCGAACACGAGTCGTTATAAAATAATTCAAATCCTTTWTAACAATTAAGATAGTTAATATTTATATTACAACTGCTTCCCGCATTACTTTCATATTATTTGTAATGTACTTGAAAATTATTTTTCAACTGGTTAGCACATGTCAAAGATTAAACGAGTTGTGCTTTAATTTCCGAAAAAATTTAATGTTCGATCAACAAGCGAGAATTTCGAGGTTAAAAATAATATTTTTTTCTAGATAAGACTATTACAAACATTTTTTTTAACTTTGATAAAATCAATAGAATTCGTTTTTTTTTTTGTTTTTTTTTTCTAAATTTGGGGTAAGACTTTCCTCACCTGATTTGTTCAGATGTTTTGATCTTATTTAAACAAGCACCTTTGGCGGTTTCTTTTATCGCCAAACAAAGAAAAGTGATCTACTATAACTTCTTTTATTAAATTACAAAGTTATTAAAATCCATAGTCAAGTTAATGGATATTACTTATAAACTACACTATGACAGTTTATTGCAAACGTTTTTACTACACTGAAATTTGACTTTTTCTGAAGGAATAAAAACCCCCGAATCCGAAGCAGGCCACAAATGAAAGCATAAGTTTTTGCATTTGCACTTTCTATTGTACTTCATGAGATCTGTTTATTCAATGTTCAACGTTTACTGATGCTTTTAACAGTGCTTTTCATTATATTTTATGTAGTTCGTATGTATAGTAAATGTAGTCATAGCCGTTAAGCCAATTTCTRCCTTCTGTCTTTCATATAGCAATAAAAACAAGAAGAAAATTGTGGAAAAGTTAAAATACAATCCACCAATCAGAATTCAGAATAGTGCGTATATTCAAACACATGATCATGAATAACAACACTTAGCTTTTTATGTCTTTGAGACATTTGCTCGACATTTCGGACGAAGTCTACAGGTGCTTGTTTTCATGCAACATGAACGGCTCTAATATTTCAACTGTAAATGACACTTTTCTTTCAAATACGAGTTTAACTGCCCCTATCCCTTCGAAGATGAAGGCATCGTTTGGGTTGATAGCAACTCTCTCGTTCGTTGGCAATCTTTTTCTATGTATTGTCATGGTTCGTAAAAGGTCTATGCTCAAGAAGGCCTATAATGTCCTCATCTTCAATCTTGCTGTTGCAGATATGCTAACAGGTTAGTAAAACATTTGCTGCATTTTACAATTTTCCTTGCATACCACACTTAACCAAGTCTTCGATAGTACTAATTATATACAAAGAAATACTTCTATAAAGAACATGGACCTAGAATCTAAGAAAAGTCTTGATATCGGCTCTGGCAATCAGACTTAAAGTGTTTTAAAAATAAGACTCAATCAAATGATACCATTTTGAACAAGTATTTCTATGTTGCTGTGATTGTTCGAGTAATCTCYGACCAAATTAACATAGATATTTCTGGGTAAAACGAAACTTCACAAAATCTAATAATATTGTCTTTTATACTTTCTACTAAGATGATAGTTAAACAAGTTTTTAATAAATCAGATAACGCAACATTGCCAGTTTTCATAGTGGAATTATTCATTTTTGGTTTCTTTTCTTTATATATTATATTTTTATCCCAAATTTGTGTATCGTTGATTTAAATRAGACACATTTCTGAAGTTGGACCGTCCGTTCAATAGCTCCAGATGTAGCTAAATCAATATCGCAGAGCGTAAAATCTTTTTTTGTTTGGCACCTCTTCTGTCGTAGCTGTCTGAGTTCCTTTGAAGATGTTTAGGCAACATCAGTTGAATCAATAATCGCTTTCCAAACTGTACTGGTTCAAACGTTCTTATCCTACCAAACCATCTCCGACAAGCCATCTCGGAGACTTTTAAAACAGCTTACAGATTAAAGATGTCTACTGAGATTAAATGTTCTGGGTTTTTTTAGCATTGCATGAATCCAAGTTTTCTTTACCACCGCTTAGGATATCTTTCAAAAATTTCCATATTTTCGAATGTAAAGTTTATGGACTCTCGCTACAGACGGTTAAAGTACTTGATTTGAGAGTTTGAAAACCATTCTGAAATAAGTAAAAAAACAGACAATGTACTTCAATAGTCATGCTATGTAGTAGCGAGTTTGTTTTTCCGATCGGATTAAAAAAAGTGGTTCTATACTAATCATAAGAATTTTGAAAATATAAAAAAAATGTAATTCAAATGGTTGGAAGCCATGGTAAATGTTTACTTGAATAATTATCTAACCATCTATGAAATGAAATAGAAATAAACCATTATTTAAAAAAACGAAGTACGATTTAAAATAGTAACTAAGATTTTATATTAATAGTTGTTTTTTTTCAAATAACTACTGGCGTGCCACATTTCGAAAATAACGTTATTGGGCCTATTTAGAATCTGAATGTTAACATTATCTGATAAACGTTTTACCGGAAACACTTTTTTTTGAGCTGCTTTATTTCCAAGGTTTGCGGAAAAGCACAAATATATTCTTAGAAACAACTGGATCTTTATTTACAATTTGAACAAAATTTGACGCTTTAGAAAATTTTGTTGCATATTTTATCGAGCAACTAACATCTGGATTTCCCAACGAGCATATGTTTCTATATTATTTTGTACATTTTTGCCTGATTACTGACTTTTTAAAAGAAGCCAGCCCATGATATAATTATCTATTATCACTATAATTGAATGTAGGCGTTGAGGAGAAGGCGTCCAAGAGGCTGTAAAGCAGGCGGTAAAGCAGACGTTCCGTGGGTCTGGCAATAACAATTAAGTTATGGAAACCAAAATTGGCTATTTTCAGCTGCAATTCTATATATTCAATCAAATTTGCCTTAACATACGCTGTGTAATCTGATTTGGGCAATATGAATTACATCATAAATGTTCTTATTAGTAAGCAATGCAATAAGGTTCAATAGTTTTTTAYTTAATGCATAATTTAAAGTTAGAAAACAATTTCAATAATTATTTTGAAAACCATGTTACGAAGTTTCCTACCTTACATAAAAAGGTTATAAAATATGATAAGCCATGAAACCCAGCAAATTAGAATTTTGAGAAGTTTGAAAATTGTTTTTAAAAAAAACCAGATGGTTTGTGTTTATTAAAATATCATATTTGAATTGGGCTACCTGTGGATTCTGTCAATCAGGTCAGGTATACTTTAATCTTGAAAAATAATGATAAAGAATATTGATTAAATCAAAGGATAGCAGCTGATTTTAGTAATCGGTTTTGATATTATTCAAAACATTATAGCCTTTCCAGCAAAAACTTTAATCCTACTGGTTTTGGTGTTTTTTAGTATAATCCTTATATTAGAGCAAGAATTGGTCAACTCATTCCAGACGTAAGCTCTTCATATGATTCAGTATTCCTAATCTTCCGATCGCTTTTCCAGGTTTCATTTCTCTTTCTCTTTCTCTTTCTCTTTCTCTTCCTTTTTTCCCTTTCTTTTCTTTTCTTGTCCCCTTTCTTTTCTTCTCATTAATCTTGTTTTCAACTAATTATAAAACACGTCTCAGTCTCGTCTCGTTTCCAAATCAAATAATTATTTTAATGCAAAGCGTCGCCATTTAAAACAAGAGTTTAAGAGCCAATGAATAAATAAACTTTGCAAGTTCACTGATAGCTGCACTGTCATCTCTAACACTTGCTGAATATTAAATAATAGGAAAGACTAATATGAAAGTCAAGCTTTATATCTAAAAGAAAACACAGAAAATAATACAGACTATGTACTTAAAGTGCAAATGAACCCT